GGTATGGTTGAAGCTCCTGGAGAGTTTGGCCCATGGTATACTGTGATAAGTAAGCAAAGGCAACATTTAATTAGCCAGTTAAGCCAGCTATTTATTCATGTATTTCTCCGAAAGCTTTGTAAGCAGTCCTGTTTGTTTCAGTGTACCTGCTAAAAAGTTCATGGCATTTGAACTTGAAGTGTGTTGCTGACCAGAGACCAAAGTTTGAAATAAAAATAGCTCTCCAAAATGTCTGTTTCTTCTGCAAAACTCTTTTAATGCTGTGGGCCAAATACTATACCAGTAAAAATAAGAGCTCATTCCAAAGTAATTTCTTTTTAACATTAGTGCAACTGAATTGATAAATAAAATTTGCCTGTTTCTGTCTGTCTGTGTATTGTTAGTGTCAGTCTGTAGATTATTCTGCAATATCTGTTTATCTTAGTACCTGTTACTGGTGGGAAAAAGAGTTTAGAAAGGAGGAGGGAGCAGAACCATTCATCTAGTCCATTTGATCACAAGGCGGAAAGCTAAACATTCATATTACTCTTTAGAAGTGACATTATATCTAGAATTCATGTGTTCCATATTCTTGACACTGGTTTTTAGGTGTATTCGTGTTGGTCTAAGGACACAGGCAGGCAAGGTTCTTTGAGCAGATGTGGTATCTTCTATTTTTTCCAACTACTCAGTTGGTCTAATAAAAGATATCACATCTACTCAAAGAACGTTGCCATACTCTGGACAGTAGCTCTTGTGGAATTTTGTTTTACCTCAAATACTTCAACGTGAAATCTACTTAACTTCCAGGTTATAAAAAGAATGTTCATGTCTAATTTGCAGGTCAGCAAATCAAGGCCGAGAGCCAAGCATCGTATTCCTTTTTTGGCTTGAACACATACTTCAAAGAACACTTACATTTTGTGTAACTGACACCTCTGTTCATGATGGAAAAACCCCAAATGGAATCCATTTCACCCTTCCAGGGTTGTACATTGCCTTCACAATGTCCACCTGCGTAATAGATAGTACATGCTTATTTTTCTTTACTACAGTAAATAAATTAACTTTTGAAAACCCAAGGAACCAATCTGTTGTATAAGAAGGTGTAAAGTGAAAAGATTTTGATCTTTAAATCAAGTGTGCAGTATTGTAAGTATGTAGTTTATGACATTTTAAGTTATTTCTGACTTAAGTAATTATGTACTATCTTTCTTACAGGTCTTCACAAAAAGATGGGGTGCCAGGGACTTACCAATTTTGGGAACCAGCTGCTTCGCCGGAAAGTTGTGGATTGTACCAGGGAAGAGAGCAGGCTCTCGCGATGCCTCAATACCTTTGATTTGGTTGCTCTGGGTGTAGGTAGTACACTTGGGGCAGGTGTCTATGTCCTGGCTGGAGCTGTGGCACGTGAAAATGCAGGACCTGCGATTGTCATCTCCTTCTTGATTGCTGCATTGGCATCTGTATTGGCTGGCCTATGTTATGGAGAATTTGGTGCTAGAGTTCCAAGGACTGGATCTGCTTATCTATATAGCTATGTGACTGTTGGTGAACTATGGGCATTCATCACTGGGTGGAATTTAATTCTGTCTTATGTCATTGGTAAGTATGTAGGGGCATGCTGAGAAACTAGTGTTAATTCAGAATGTCTGCCTGATGTGGATGATATTGCACTGTCATATCATTGTAAAATATAAATTACCTAATTCTTTGCACCAGTAGAAGTTTCCACTGCAGATTTCAAAGCTCAGTAAAGGAATTGATTTAATGAAGCTTGTTGGCAGTGGTGGCAACCTTGCGTGGTCAAGGATGATCACTCCCGTGGGTCAAGTAAAGGATTGTATGTGAGTCAGTTGATGGCTAAGAAGGCTGATCCTAGAGCCACAGACTTTAGCAGATGCCACTGGTGATGATTGAAGGGAGGGTCAGACCACAAATTTCTTGAGTTTGTTTGGTTTTATTTGGTTGTTTGTTTCCTTTTCTATTTCCCCCATTTTTTGCCTCCAGGGTAAGACAGTTTTCCTCAAAGTACATGTACCTTCTCTCACAAGGCCCTATCCTGGGTTAGTTTTTTCCATTTATAATATCAATGCCATGCTTAATGCTTGCCTTGGGTGTCCTTGAAGCGTTTCTCCTGGCCTCTGCCTGTCCTTTATCCTTGTAAGTAAAGATGTTGGGGGTATAGCAGTTGTTTTGGTAAATGTACATCAGGCATACACATGCAGTGCCCTGTCCACCACAGCTCATGTTGAATAATCAACACTTCCATACTGGTGGCATTAGTGTCAGTGAGGACACTGGCATTTATGTGATGATTGCTTTATGCTAAGGATTTCTGGAGGTAGTGCTGGTGATGGCATTCCAGGCTTTTCAGGTAGTCCTTGTAAGTCACCCAAGCTTCACGGCCATAGAGAAGAATTGGGATTATTGAATTAGGAGCTTTGTTCTAGTCCTGATGTTATGATTATTGAACACAATGATTCAGTCTTCTGAAGGAAGAGCTGGTACATTGGATCCTATACTGGCTCTCCTCATCGAAGGTGGCTTTCTTCGAGAGATGGCTCTGAAGTATGCAAAGCATTTAAAATTCTCCAGCTCCTGTCCATCAAAGAAGATCTTCACTTAGGGAGTTGATTGGCCTAGAGCAGGTTGGTGAAGCACCTTTGTTTTTTTTGATGTTAAGGGTCAGTCCCAGGTACTGGTATGCTTGAGAAAAGCAGTTAAGGGCCAATTTTTTACCCATCCAACTGTGTGGGCATCAGTGTCACAGTTGCTTAATTTATTGATGAGGATGGGGTGAGAGACAGTGTCAAAGGCCTTCTTAAAGTCTAGACAGACTACATCCCATGGCAACACCATCATCCAAGGATTTAGTCACCTGGTCATAAAAGGCAATCAGGTAGGTCAGGCAGGACCTGCCTTTGAACCCATGCTGATTTGCCCCTGAGCATGATCTCCCC